ACTTGGATCATTTTTAACTTTAATTTCTTTTCTTGGTAGAGGACTTTTAACATTAGAACTGATTTTTCTACCACGCTTGAGGCACGACTATAACTCATTTGCAATATTATATTGTCCAATATGAGAATCCACTTTGAGTGGAATATTAACCGCTAATAACTTGTTTCATAAACTTTGCAAGTGAATTGTGTTTTGAACTTCGAGGATCAAAATGATATAATAATATTTTATTTCAAATTGTTCATTTCAAGTTTTGGTTCACACTTTTTGCTGCTTGTCCTCTCCCCTAGTATTGAGAAAATTAATTTATAAATTGATGATCAGTCTACTGGACTTCAAACAAGTATCCAATTATTGGATCAAGATAAAACCTCAAATACGAGATTCATATACAATGTGTTTTCTTAAATTCTTTCAAAACGCATCTTAATGTACTATATTGGAGCAATTGAATGATCACAACACATTTAAAAGTTTACTTAAATGAGAGTTATTAGATTATGAACCTAAAATAATTTGTAAGTTAAGGGAAGCATTATCATGTACTAACTTGTTGACTTAATGTGAATAAATATCTTAATATTATGCTTTGTGTGTTTTAAATATATAATTTATAATTGATGATCTCACAAGTATCAACTATATAACTAACTTTAGACGTCTAAAGAATGGATCTTTAAGTCCATTTTTTTAGGAGCATGCCCTTCATGATGTTCAATATTAATTTTAATAATATATGTGATACTTATCTAGAAATTTCTTAAAAATCCAGAAAACATGATCTTAGTCTAATTACTTGAGAAAATAATTTCACAAACTTTTGGCTGTGAATAGACGTATGCACGATCTTTTAGTCGATGCACCAATTAATGTGATAAAAACTCAATGTCTCAAATTTTTCTTTAGGAACACACAAATTTTATCGGATTAAAGAAACTTCTGGTTCTTTAAAACTAGTTCTCACATCATAATACATCTGAGATGACCCAACCGATTTTGCCAACAACACATTTAAGTGTGATTTGTAAACATCTGGTTTACCATAATACCTATGATTCTATTCTTCTAATTTGTTTCAATCTCTAGTAAATACAAAATAATTTGTATAAAATATATATTTTGCAATTTTAATAAATTTACAATTCTTAATATTATTCATGCAATCCTTATGTGATTGTCAATTTTTCTAAAATCTATGAAAATCGTCATTGATACTTTTCTGATCAATGAGACAAAATAATCATTTTCTTATCAATCATGAAGGAATAACCCTTATTTGATGAATGAATAAAAGTAATTCATTTTTTTAAATAATCCTGTAGGGATCCTTTATTTTATATATATATATATATATATATATATATATATATATATATATATATATATATATATATATATATATATATATATATATATATATATATATATATATATATATATATATATATATATATATATATATATATATATATATATATATATATATATATATATATATATATATATATATATATATATATATATATATATATATATATATATATATATATATATATATATATATATATCATTCAAGAATCTTGATTAGTTCTCCAAAAACTCTATAATAAATTATTATTTTGCTATCCTTCAAGATACTTGATAAGTTGTTCACAAACTATATAATAAATTATTATTTTTCTATCATTCCGGGATATTTGTTAAGTTCTTTAGGAACTATAAAACAAACATATTATTTTATAGTCTTTCAGAAATATTTTAACATTATTCATCCAATTCTTCTGGGATGCATGAAAATCATCGTTGATTTTTTTTTCTAATCAATATATCAATACATAATAGACAGAATTAGAAATATATTTTACGAAACAAAAAATAATAATGTTACATTTTAAATCTTGGAGCTTCATATAGTTAGACCTTCATTATCAAGTTATTTGTATTATTTCTTAGACAATTAGTTAACATTCATATGTTAGAGTTTCGTGTTGATAACGTCTTATAAAACTAAATAAAATAATATAGAAATCAAATAAATGAAGAGAAGAAAGAAAGTAATATTATATTATCTTCTCAAAAAGTATTTTTTATCTTGTAATATGGATATTATTTATAGTACATAATCAACGAATAATTATTAACTTAAAAAATACACAAAAGTTAAAAAAATTAACTAATAAAAATTAAAAAATATAAAAAGTTGAGTGAATGAACATCCACATCTATTTACCATTATTTATAACAAATTAGTATTATTCATTATAGCATACATCAACAAAGTAAAAGCAACCAGAAGTATTTTTTCATTGAAAATTCAATCAATAGGAATTAACTTTTTTAATAAATAATAATTACTTTGAGAGATTTAAATAAATATAAAAAAAAAAAAAGAGATGAAGAGGTTTATTGTAACAATATAAATCTAAGAATAAAATCACAACAAAAATCTAAAAAAATCAAAATCGATACGAACGGGTAGTTTTTAAGGAGGAGCTTAGAATAAGGGCAATGTAGTAATTATCCGTGATTCACTAGCTATAAATTGAACTGGAGTCAAGATTAGGTTTCAAAATAACTCGAAAGAACCAGGCGTAGCAGCAAAACATTTACGTCCGAGTTCTGTTGCGGACATAGAACAAATCTTCAATTTCCTTTCTCTATTCTTCTGCAACAATTTTCAATTCATTTGTTCTTGATAATTTATTTTCGGTCGATCCAATGGGGTTTCAGTTGATTTTGATCTGAGATTTCTATTTCACCCGGCCAATAGCTATTCTTTTTTCGGGGCAGTCTCAATATTTTGCGTGTTTTTTACTTCATGCTTATATTTAGATCTCGATTAACTGTCCTATATTTTATTTTAGTTTTTCAATCGGTTGGCATGATGGTTGCGACGACGTAGTTTGAGTTAAATGATATTTAGGTGTTAAGATCGATATAATATCCAGTATAATAATATTTGATACTGCAACTTCTTTTACTAATTCTAAGAACATTTGCGTCTGAGTTCCGTTGCGGGCATAAAACAAATCGTCAATTACTTTTCTCTATTCTTCTGCAACAATTTCACTATGCAGAAGCTTTGAAAGGATTTGCACATTTTCTATTCTTTCAATTTTTTGATGATTTATTTTCGGCCGATTCAATGGGGTTTCAGTTTTTGATCTGAGATTTCTATTTCACCCGGCCAATAGCTATTCTTTTTCGAGGCAATTTCAATATTTTGCGTGTTTTTTACTTCATGCTTATATTTAGATCTCGATTAACTGCCCTACATTTTATTTATTTTTCAAAAATGTTTTGTTTAGTTTTTCAATCGGTTTTACTTTGGCATGATAGTAGATACGATGTAGTTTGAGTATAAAGGTATTTAGGTGCTAAGATCAATTTGATATCTACTATAATATTTCTTACTGTAGCTTTTTTCTCATTATAAGAACCATAAAAGCGTGTTATGTATTATCATTTCAATGTTTATATGTTGGGGTGGCGGAAATAGAAAAACTATTTTTGAATTGATGGAACATAATAAACTGTTACTTTTGAATTGGTGAAAGATAATAAACTTATTACGGACTATAGATAGCATAGTAGAATGAAATATAAATACACTCTAAGTTTATTAAAAATATATCATTTCATGCATACACTTCAAATGAAATGAATTAAAAAGAGAATTGGATGCACCATAATTTGGATGAATAAAAAAGGAAAAGGGGAATTGGATGGAATGAATTAGGGATATTCCTAGACTGTCTTGGTTTGATTTTGAGAGAGTTTGATACCAAACTAAAATAGAATCAAATGAAAAATAAGGTAAATAGAATCAAATAAAAAATAAGGTTGGTTTGAATTACAAAATAATTGTTAATTTGAGTTGGATTGATCAGATACATTAAAAAAATATTTTAAAATATTTTAAAAGTTTATAATTTATATCAACTAATTTTTTATAATAATATAAATTTATTTTTTCCTATTTTTTTATATAGGTTGAGAATGTCACAAATGAAAATTTATTTTTCTTCTTTTTTATAGTTGAATATCTTATTCTAATTTCTATAATAATGATATAAATTATAAGAATTAATATGATTGATTTGAGTACATGAATTTGGTTTGAATAAATTTTTTTGCAATCCGTTGTCCGAACCAATTAACATCGGATTTCATTGGTTTGGTTTGTTTTTTATCCAAACTAAAAAAATGTCCAATTCAAACACTTTGGTTTAATTGTTCGAACCAATGAACACTAATGAGTTTCATCATGTTCCATTTCATCAATATTTACAAATTCAAACAATGAAATCATATTAACTACCACTTCTCTCTATTCCATCACATACCACCGATCTAAACAATAAATATATTTTAAAAACAGTTTCACGAAACTATGTAAGATCTATCATCGCTAAGAGCACTAACTATTGAAGAAGACTACGTGACAAACTTAAATTTGGAAATTTTGGATGAAAAACAAGTTCGAGATAGAAGCCTTGTTCTTTAATTTCATCACATTAATAAAAATTCAATTTGGCCACAAAATCAAGAAAATCCGGTCTAATAATGGCACATAATTCATCATAGATAATTACTATATGTCTCAAGGGATCTTACATAAAAATCTATTTTGAGACCCCATGATAAGATGCAGTGAAATGACGAAAGCACAAACACATCCTAAACGTTACTAGAGCTCTCATGTTTCAATGCACCTAGCCCAATTTTTTTTACCTTAGCTAACACACTGCTCAATGGTAGCCACAAACTTGATCCTCATTAAAGAAAGTTCACATTTATTAGTTACAAACAAGAAATCAAAAACCATGTTCTCATGGATCTTCCGTAAAACTAGTTTTACAGACAATCTTAAAGAAACACACCAAAGTTTTACGGCATTCAAAACTAGTTTTTATTATGAATAAAATAAAACCGAACACATGAAACAATTTCAAAGGATTTTATTTTATTTAATTATTATTACATCTATAGATTTCTTTTTATATTTCTAATTTATGTAGAATGATTTGAGCACCATGTTTTGGCCGAAGGGTAATCACAGTAGTTGGAGCATGAGCATAGGTTGGAGAAAGTTCAAACGAGAAATGTTGCAAAATCAATGCTATTGCCATCTTTGCTTCCAACATGGTAAAGTTTTGTCCAATACAAAGTCTAGGCCCCCCTCCAAATGGAAAAAAATGAAGTTCTTCCATTCGTTGCTTTTAAAACACCTTCAGAAAATCTTTCAGGATTGAACATCTTAGCATTATCACCTCATAGCTTTGTGTCATGGTGAACCAAAAGTACCGGTAAGAAAAACTGCACTCCGACAGGTAATGTTAGGTTTCCAACTTTTACATCTTTTTGAACTTCCCGAAAAAGCGCAATTATTGGAGGGTATAACCTTAAAACCTCATATAAAATCATTGTCATCTGTCACAAAATGATGCAAATTGTAAGTAATCAATTTTGTGTATGTTATTATCAAGACTACGCCTACAATATTTTAGATAGTTACAATCTTAAAGACGACTTAGTCCATCAAAATCTGGTTTATTGTTGCCAAAAACTTGTAGAACTTCCTCTCTTGCACGAACTTGCCAACTCGGATGCCTACTCAATAATATAATTGTCCAAACAAGTAAAACTGAAGTGGTTTCTTCTCCCGCAAGATAGAACAACTTGCATTCCTTGATCACATCATCAAGGTTCATTCCAACATTCTTATTATTGTTTTCTTTAATTTCCTTGTGATTTGACTCGAGAAGAATGCTTAACAAGTCGTTCTTTGTGGCTTCACCGGCCTTAATTTCTCTTTCTCTCTTGTTAATCATATCAGTTAAGGAAACTATTACATCTCTATCAATTTCCTTCAACCTTTTCTTTGTAACAGTTGGTAGAAACCTTCAAAACAAACTCTATTAGAGTTTAATTATTACTCAACAAGTAGTTCAATACACAAATTAGTGCTTACCTCCAACCAGGAATGTAACCTGTCATCAAAACTTTCATTGTAAGTTCAGCTTGCTCCTTTTGAAGTTCAAATATTCTCATTCCTTCTTCATAACTACTTCCAAAAGCTGCTCGAGCAATCGCATCACTTGCCAATTTTTGAACAAAAGGCCATGCATCAACTTCACATGATCCATCCGACGATAACATTCCCTCCCATTTGTTAATCAAATCATCACAACTTTGAAAGAACGCTGGTAACATCAACTGTGGTACACAAAAAAATCGATTATTAATGAAGCTAAAATTTTCTACACCAAAATAATTATGATTAGTCCATAACAAACTAACCTTCAATTTTTCTAAATGGAATGCAGGATTGATTATCTTCCTATGCTTGCTCCACTTTTCTCCCTCATGGACTATAAGACCAGTAGCTAGTATTCTAATAAGTTTATTTGAATTTGCCTTTTGAAAGTCATAAATTTTATTGAAAACTTCTTTAATAAGTTCAGGATTTGTGAGGATCACTCTTGGTATTGGTCCCAACCAGATAAAAGAATTCTTTCCTGCATTATTAAGAAACAATCTTATAAATTGAGAACACAAAAATAATCCATTCAATCTTAAATATAAATAAAATATCAAACATATTTAATATAAAATCAGATTAAATATAAAATCAGATTAAGAATAGATAAAAACCAAAAGATAGTGAAAAGTATATAGAAGAATACCATGTTTTGCAACACTTTGTTGGGCAAAGGGAAACACATGAGGCACTATATCATCAGAGAGATTCATGGGTTTAGATGATGCTTCTTTTTGTATCTTAAGAAGATCTTTTATGTCGCCAACTAGTAACCTATATGGATTCCCTTTAAGGCCTTGTTCCCTTAGCAACTTTTCTAGCTTCTTTGGTTTCAACCATATCCAATTCAACATGCTCCATGCCCATACAAGCGTTATTGACAAAACTATGAATGCAAATATTGCATATGGTGTTTCCATCTCTTTCACTTTCTGTGTTGTTAGAGATACACAAAATTAGGTAATGATAAAATCAAGTTGTTGTCTTATATAACTTTGCAATGAATGCATTTCTTAACTATTAAGTGTATGTGCATATTTTATGCACTATAAATAGAAAGATACAAAAAAGTGTTTATTGAGTTGTTGTTTACCCAAAAACAAGTTATTAATTTAAATACTCTTAAAGATGATTACAAAATATTCATTAATAGATTTTTATTAATAATAATATTAATATTTTATCGTTTTTGTAAAAAATAATCATGTTGTTTTTTATTTGGTTTTTCATTGATTTTCTTCATTTGAGATATATTATTTTATTCAAGACCTATAAAACTCTAAATATAGACAATTCTAATATACCTAATAATAGTTTAGAGTATGTGATATGTTTTGAGAAGATATGAAGGCTTGAGATTCTATATTGTGCTCATCTCTAAATCTTAAGTTCAAGTCTTTCGTATACTAATAAATTTATGTGTTAAATTAGTTAAAACAGGACTTTACTTTCACATCAATTAAATTTTTTGAATTTAGACGATTTTATTTGGTCATTCGTTATTCGTTATATTGAGTATCAATTTTTTAGATAAAAAAGTCTCTTGGCATATTAGAGGATTCTGTTGGAAAAAAAAATAAAATAAAGTAAAAAAGAACACAATCACAATACAAGAATATAACATAAAAACTCTAACATCAAAGAAAAAAATTATTGTTGTTCTCAATAGACATTCAGAGAATAACTCTATGTAAAAATTGTTACAACACTTAATATACCCTCAACTAATTCATGATTATAAGAGAATAAAAAGAGTCAAATACAAACTTAAAGTACTTTTGACTGATACATCTTGAAATGAGCAACTTTCATCCTATACACAACCTTAGACTCTCACTTTTTTCACAAAACTAAGAGATGTGAGACTTGAATAATTTTTGTTCTATTATTCGTGACATGAGTTTTATCCTATGCTAGATCACAAAAAATTCAGATCTAGAATCTATATAACGACTCTCTGCATTCTAAAACCAACCTTTTCAACAAAGATTGTGTAACTATAGTCTTTTACCAATTATAAATCCAGAAGAAACATAATGCCCAATGATCCTATCGAAAAAAGGTTTGTTTGTACTAGAGGCAATGCAAATTGGTGTCCCAATATTGTTGGCAATAGTAAATATTATTTTTGACTTTCAAAATTCTTGGAATAAACTATGTATTTTTATCAATACTTGAAGTTTGTTTAAGAGTAGAGAGAAAAAAGTCTATGTTCCAAGGAAAATGCTTCAATATCTCAAGATTGAGGTTTCATGAGCTGACAGAGTGTACCATATGTTCATCATCCAAACAAGAAAAGGAAAATTCAAAAAGAATAAAAATATGCCCGATAAAATGATGTCTAATTTTTCAATAGAGTTACAAAAGGAAGTCAACATGAGACACAAGATAACTAAGGTAAGGGAGACTAATCCTTTAGGCTGATAATCCTTTCATGAAGATTGTGTTTACATACGTCAATTCCTAGTTTATATTTATCTTCTGGAATCGAAATTGCTAGCCTATTCCCTTTCATGTGAGGAATCAAAAGTTGGCTTAAGGGCATCTTAAAAACATTGTTGACAGCTTCCACAAAAGACTTAACCGATTTGGGATGACTTAGATCCTTAGGTTTGAAAACTGATGATGGGGTATATATTGTTTTAAGGAATAAAACAATCGTAACTAAATACCGAAAAATATAAATAAAACGAAGAAAAGTCTCAATGTCATCTTTTACTCACAACAGTTATTGCTCCTCCTGAGCATCTGTACCACATCATACAAAATACCACAAACAAAACAAAAGAGAAATGTGAATATGCTCAAATATATTAATAGAGCACTAGAATACAATGGTAGCATCAATTAACAATGATCATCAAATACCCAATTTATTTACAACAACAACAACCCATTCACAACGCCTTTATGTCTAGAATGTGACTCACAACTCGACTCAATGTATGTGGTACCAATTTGGACATCAGAGGTATGTTACTAAACCAATCCACTCAATAATGATCCTCTTCAAACTGGGTCCCCACTTCTGAACCTCACACGTCACTGATCCCCACTTATGAATCTGCCACACGTCATTGATCTCCACTTCTGAGTCAACAACTTATCTTAAGACTGAAGTCTACATATCAATCACTGACATATATGATACATGACATATAAAATAATGCAACAACACTTGTGGTTCCACTTCTAACCATACACAATAATATATAAGGTAATCACAATATTTCTCACTCCGAACTACACATCTTAACAATAACAACCTATAACTATAACTCATCATATAGTTATCACGCATTTCCCAACTTACATTCACACATCAAACAAAGAGTTCACACAACACTTAAGTATTTCAATTAATATTACTAAACATGATCAAACAACATCTAATAGTCGTTGGAATAAGAGACATATTGACAATTTGAGTTCAAAATAGCAACCTGTCGCTGTCACGCTCGCTAAGCGAGAACATAAAACCAGAAAACATCACATTCTGTCTCAACGTGCTAAGTGAGTGTGTTCCTTGCCAAGCGAGGGCTCACTAAGCGACGTTCATCCTCACGAAGCGAAGTCGCCTAGAACTGCAAAAATCAGAAATGTGATTCCACCCTAGAAGCCATATCAAAACTCCAAATTTGACCCTCCAAATCACTCAAATCGAACAAAAAATAACATATACATATCATACAATGTTTATAACATCAATTAACTACTGATTCGTCATCTAAATCACAAATCTAATCCAAATATAAGAATACGGTTATCAAACCAAAACCCCATGAACCTGAACATTCAAACTCATATTTTCACATACATAATATACACAAAATTCAAAAATTAAATAGAGCACAAATTTCATAACAATCACAATAATTATCATCGATTTCACACAATTGTTTCCAAAAACACATGAGCTTTAACAATGGTGAAAAAGATGAGAAAAACCTAAAGGAGTGTGAGGATCCCTCTCTACCCTTCATGCATTTGACACCAATATTATATTAATCCCCATTGACCTTAATTTCCCACAGTAAGCTTACAACTTTGGTTATGTCTTCTTATTCCTAAGTTACTTCTTAGGGTTCCTAGCCACTTGCCTCCTTTTCCACTTTTCTCAAATTCTAGGTATCAAATAAAATTTTCAATCCCTCATAATATCTATATAAATGACTTAATTATATTTTTCATAATTCTAAACTTTCCCTCAACTTATGGGCTCTTACTCCTTACCACACTAATTTCACTAAAATTCTAATTCCACCCTGTTGCACCCCAAAATTTGACCAACCGGTTCCCACATCTGGTTTATGTTTCGACGCATTTTGCATTCGCATCCGCATACCGCATATGTTGCATTTTCTCAATCATATTGATTTTATCGGGATCACAGCCTCCCCTGGCGTTTTAGGCATTTCAGGCCAATACGAGGATTTATTTTGAGAATTGGTGCTCGTTCCCTGTGTTTTCAGGCCATCTCGGTGCCTGGTTTTTTACCGCTTATTTCGCTGTAATTGCGCAGTTGTCCTCTAATCGATTTAATTGACCTTTCTTGCATTTTTAAATTTCTCTCTTAATTTCTGGAATTTTAATTAGGTTTTAATTGTGTCTCTAGAATTTTTAAGTAGATTTTATATGTTAATTGTTTTTTAGATTTTTATAGATATTAATAGATATTTCTTTTTAAAATAGATATTAAATAGATTGTTAATGAAGTTTTAATGATTTTTTTAATAGGATATTCTTTTTTCTAGAATTGTTTTAAATAGAGTTTTAATTGTTTAATAGAGTTTTAATAGTTTTCTCTAGTTTTATTAGATTTTTATTAGAATATTAGAATAATAGTTTCTTTTTAATAAATAGGATAATATAGGTTTTAAATAGATTTTAATATAGTTTTTTTCTTAATAGATTTTTAAATAGATATTAGTTAAATTTTAATTGTTTAGTTTTTATAGATTTTATTTTTATATAGAGTTTATTAGTTTAGATTTTAATTGAAGTGTTTAGTTTAATGGTTTTTCTTTTAATTAGAGTTTATTAGAATCAGGTAATTAATTAGCATTAATCAATAGTTTTTTTTTTCATTCATTCAGTTAAGTGTAGCTTTTAACCATGCATTAGCCATTAGTCTCCATTAATTTTCGTTAATTAATTAATTGGTTCATGGCCATTTAATTTCCGTTTTACTACTGCATCATTAGTCCGGTTAATCAGTATTAGTTCATTAAAGTCCTTTAATCAGTTCATTAGTCTTAATGGTCCATTTGTCAGTTTTTTGGGGACCCAAAATTCGTTGCCATGTGGCACTACTATAAAGCGCCACCTCTCTCTTTCTTCTCCCAGAGAGCGACACATCACCATTCACCATCCCCACTCCACCGCCACTTGGCATTCTCTCTCTCTTCCTTCACGCCACGCGTCCCTTCCTCCCTCACCCTCTGCATACAGCTTGCCACGTCTCCCACTCACATTCCCCTCACCGGACCACATGCAAACTCACCGGAAAACTCACCGGTGAAATCAAGCGGCGCTTCTCATGGCCAAAACTTCACCGGAAATCCAAGGCGTCGCCGGAAAACTCATATGTTCTTCATGATTCTCCAGCAATCATCAATATCTTCACATCATGTTCATCAAAACCACCGCAACTGTCACCAGAGTGTGTAACCGTCGCCGGAATCTTCATCATAGATCCACCGGAAATCACCAAACGACGAGAACATCCTTCATCCGTTGAAGATCTTCATCATTTTCACACTATTTCCTCCAGATCCATCAACAATATTCCAGATCTTCATCATTTTCACACTATTTCATTCGTTGAAGATCCTCCAAAAATTCCTCAAGTCTTCATCCAAATCTCCAGAATCCTCAAGAACAAATGTCTACAATGAATCTTCCTTAAAAGATCTCCATC